TGCCTCCGGTGGCTCCCCCACTATATATGTCGCGCTTTGGCGGTGCCACCAACATGTGGCTGTGGGAAGAGCATCCCCCTATGTCCCCCCTTTTGGTCCTGTCCCCTCCATCCGTTGGTGGCTTTGGCTCCTATGAGGAGCTGTGCCGGAACTCGTGGCCCCAGGTTGACAAGCGCATGATGGCGATCCCTGGTCAAGGTCACAGCACGATAACCCAGCGTTCAGGTTCACACGGTGATAACTAACTGTGCCCTGTGCCCTCTCTTCTGGAGGGACGACAGCACCGAGCCGGGAGCGTCCCTTGGGATCTGCACCCGCTTCCCTGGGAGCAGCGGCAGCAGATGGGCTGGAGAGGTGGAGGAGCTGGGTCTGGATGGATGGGTTCAGGGCTGGGCTCCCTGCGTGTGTGGGGGCACACGTGCCATGAGTTCAGAGCCAACACCCCAGGGGACAGTGGCACCAGGGCGCCTGCATGGAGCTGGGTTTAGTGCATGTTGTTTCCTTTGGGTCAGGTAAGAGCTTGTACGTCCATCCCACATGGATCTGAAAGGAAATGGGGAGCAGTTTGGAGTGGAAGGTGGGCAACAGCCCATTGGGATCCCATTGCATGTGCCCCCCTCCCCACGCTGGAGAGTGGCTGCTGGAGTTAGTGCTCACATCTGAGCAGGATAACTGGGAATGGGGCATAGTCCAGGAATGCACAGGACAGGGCTGGGGTGGGCATTTGGTGGGGGTTTAGCCATTGCTCCTTGCCCCTTGCCTTTCCTGGCACAGTGGGAAGGGCAAGGGGCCCTTCCAGCACCAGCAATCACCCAATCCCTGTCCTGTGTGCCAGGGACCTATGTAAGGGTTATTTACCCTCCCTATTTAAGAGGTGGGGGCTGTTTGCCTGGCTGTGAGCTCCGGAACGTGTGTGTTTCGGCAATGCTTACGTGCTGAAATCCCATGGGAATGCCACTGGACCGGTGAGTCCTCACTGGGGGCACATGGGCACCCTGCTTTCTGGTTCTGATCATGGCCAGCTTTTCCCACCACTGTCTCATCTCCCCCTTAACTGCTTGTGTTACCTGGAGGGCGGTTCTCGCCATGCAGGATGGCAGGGGTGAGGGCATGGATTGGGACCATGAACTTGTTAGTTAATGGCCATGATTAGCTGTTCTGCAATTAGCAGGGTCATTGGGTTTCTAGACCTTGCTCCCATGGCGTGGATTGGCACGCAGGGATTTTTATGGCTCAAAAAGCACTTATGGGAGCAGGGAGCACTTAAAAGGACACCGAGGCCAGGCCTTCTCCCTTCCCTGCCTTCATCCCGTGACCATTAATCAGGCCTCCCCGGCACTGCCAGCTTTCCCGTGGCTAAACCTCGGGATTTGAGTATTTAATCCCCATCCAGACCGTGAACCTTTGTGGTACTTTGCATCCTCCCCACGCTGGGTGGTGCTGCATGAGCATCACATCCCACCAGGGGAGAGCTGAGGGGCAACCACAAGCCTATGATGGCTCAGCTCAGCCTAGTGCTGACCACCCAGCTGGTGTCTAACACGGGTGGCCCCATACCCGGTGTGCACATGAACTTACTTTCACAACCAGCACCACGAGCGCTGCCATCTCCCTCCGGAGCATCCCTGGCGCAGGGTGCCTGCATCCCTCCACCTCTGGGTCTGCAGCTCTGCTTCAGGGAGGGGGTAAACCCTAAAAGGGAGGAGAAGGTGATGGGAGCCGAGGAAGCAAAGCCTGGTGCTTTGTGCATCCAGGCTCTTTGAGAGGAGATGTCCAAACGCCTCCTGAAATGGGCCCCCCCAAGCTGCTTTGCACAGTGAGACCGAGCGCGGCTGCTTTTCCTCTTGCAAGAACATCTCCTGGGGAGAAGGTAGTGCTGTTTATTTGCCTTGTGATTAGAGAGGAATTTGAGCCCATGCCAAATGCTGCTTTCTCCCCAGGAACTGCAGCGACGTGGCTTTCGATGCATCGGAGCGCGCCTGCGGCCGGCGACGGGCTGCCCACAAAGCCCATCTAGCTGATGGTCCCCAGGATAATGCCGCTGTCCTGCTGCAGAGCCGGCGGAGCCATGCCCGGGAAGGATGAGGATGCCAAAAAGCCGGCGTCGGAGGCAGCGCCGGACCGGCATTGGAAGCTACAAGTCTTCTGCCTCTGCTTCTACGGCTTCATGACGCAGATCCGGCCTGGGGAGAGCTTCATCACCCCCTATCTCTTGGGGCCTGACAAGAACTTCACACAGGCAGAGGTGAGCCACAGGCAGCCTGTCCCCTGCAGGTGTCCCCCTTTTCACCACCCTGGGGCTGGCCAGAGCATCCTCCTGTGGTCCTGGGGTGCGGAGGGTCCCAGGCAATGGGTGGCGTATGGAGGTGCTTTCTGGGAGACAGAAGGTGGTGTGACGTGGGTCTGGCTGGCAGCATGTCCCTGTGCCACGAGGCTGCAAGGTCACCCTGTCCCCCAAATCCCAGGCTCCACTTCCCCCAGCATTAAAACCTTGTGCCCAAGCTGGCAACCAGTTCTGGGGGGTGACGCCGAAGCCTTATCCCACTAAGGGACACCATGGGACATGCTGGTGCACGTTTGGGGACACGGGGCTGGGCACCACCAAGCTGCTGGCAATGATGGGGTTAGATGAGGAGGAGCCCCCTGCTGTTGTCCCCTGAGCAGGGGACGCTGGCTCTGGTCCCAGCAGGCTGCTGTGTCCGTGGGAACTCTACGTTCCCAGCATGGAAGGGGGCTGAGTCTCAGCCACGCACCCAGCTGAGAGCTCCATGGGCCACATTCCTCACAGGGGAGGGAAAGCAGTGGCTGG